ATGATCCCAGGGTCCTGGGATCGAGCCCCCACATCATGCTCCCTGCTCAGCGGGAAGCCTGCTTCTCCCTCTCCCACTCCTCTGATTGTGTTCCCTCTCTCGCTGTGTCTCTGTCAAATAAATAAATCTTAAAAAAAAAAAAAAAAAGTGGCAGGAGAGGACCTGTCTCCAGAGCTTTCTCAACTGCAGAAATAAAGAGACAGTAGCCTGATTCCCTCTTCTCCTCTATCTGCCAAGTATTATGGTTTCACATAAAATGGCTTCTGAGCTAAAATCTCGTAATTTAAAAAAGTATTCAAGTTTTATCCATAAGTTGAAAGTGCAGGCTTAAAAATGTACAAGCACTGTAAGGATAAAACTGTCATTTTTTTATAAAGATTTTATTTATTTATTTGACAGAGAGAGACACAGCGAGAGAGGGAACACAAGCAGGCGGAGTGGGAGAGGGAGAAGCAGGCCTCCCGCCGAGCAGGGAGCCTGATGCGGGCTTGATCCCAGGACCCTGGGATCATGACCTGAGCGGCAGACGCTTAACGACTGAGCCACCCAGGCACCCAAAACTGTCATTTTTAATAAACTATGTCTGTTTTGAAAGCAAATGATATTTGTAGGAAGATTACCATATGACAATTACCAATTAAATGAAAAGCTGACAAGACTTCTAAACTTAAGATATCATTATAAATAGGAAGCAACTTCATACAGTTTTTATGAGCTCCATACAATTTCCCTTATCCTGATTTATTGCATTAATGAGGGTTTAGGCTATCAAACTCACAGTTCCTACAACACAATAACTATGGCCCCAGGTCTGAAACAGCGTTATCTTTAAAAAGATACTGCAAAACCTGTAACAACGAAAAACAAAATAAGAGGTAATAAAATAAAGTATAAAGAATGGCTGTATCAGAAATTTATACTTGATAAACTTGATAAACATGATAAACCTCAAACTAGACTGTGGACATTTTTAAGTGGTGAGGGGACTATAGTCAAATAATGTAGCCAAAGCCTGGGGGAAGCCACCCCTTTACTTGGGAAATGAATTTTCATTTTCTATATTAAATCTCTGAGGAAGATAAAAAGTACAAACTCTAAACAAAAAGCTGGGGAAAACACCTACTCCATATCATATGTTCTTTACCAAGTATAATAGCACACGCTGTTTGGTAATGTAATTAGTGTTTATATATGTCACCTCAGAATGCAGTGAGCCACATTTCCTCCAAAGTACACCCCATTTAGCCATCAACAATGGCTATTTACTTAGGACTGAGAATATGTCAAACTCTCTGAGGTGTTATGGAAAACATGACAGAATTGTACCATCCCTTCACTGAAGAAATAAGATGAAGATACAATACCACCCATTTCTGCATGGCATTTAAGACATCCTCCGTATGTCTTAATTTCCAATTAATAAAAGAACAACTGATGGCAAAATTGTAGATAAATATTATAAATACAATAAAATTAGCATTGTGGTTAAGAATAAAAATTTTCATTTACCAAAAAAACCCCTGAAATCTGGTAAATACCCTCAATCTAGGTTAAGTTTTTGTGTGCTATTATTAGGTCTCTTAAAAAGGGGAGAGGGGACTTGATTTAAAAAGGTCTTTCAGAATAGACAACTTGACACTCAGTTCTGCAGTAAACCCAATCAAAATGTTATCAATCTTTGGATCTGGAAGTCCTTGACACACCTTTTCCTTTTATCATCCCTGTTCAGGCTTGCCAATTTGCCCTTTCTTTCTCTTTCTATCCTCACTTCTTGCCTGCATTTGCTCATTCACTCATCATTTACCAAATGCCTATCATCTGCCATGCACAAAGCTAGACCCTTATCCTTAGGAAGCTCACAGGACACTATGTAGAACTGTTATCTGCCCATTTCCATGACCGGACTGCAAGCTTTAGCAAAGGTTTTGTATTTCCAGAACCTAGTAGCATCTGGCATACAGTCTAAAAATGTTTATTGTATGACGCTAGATTACTTCAGCAAGCTCTTTTTAAATCCATAATTATTTATATCTTCAAAAAGGACTCTTACTTTTCTTCCCTTTTTAAGATAGAAACGTATAGAATACAAAGTGAATTCTCCAACCCCCTAAATCCTACTTCCATGAGTAGTGACTACTATTACAGTTTGGAATCTATCTTTCCAGAGCTGTCCTATCCTGGTATATAACACACACTTTTATACTTTTTTGGAATAAATTCTTCGACCGTTTCCGACTCTAACTTCTCAACTTTCAAATCCAGTTGAAGTTCTCAGTGTTGTCCCTGGATTAGATGCATCAGCATCATCAGAGAATTTGTTAGAAATACAAATTCCCAGGCCCACTCTGGACCCACTAAATCAGAAACTCTGGAGGTGGGGCCCCCCACAGTATGGTTTTGTTTTTTAATTGTGATAAGCACCACGCCCAACATGGCTTGAACTCATGACCCAGAGATCAAGAGTTGCATGCTCTACCGACTGAGCCAGCCAGGCACCCCCTAAAATCTGGGTTTTAAAGTCTTCAGGTGATTCTAATGCACACCAAAGGTTGAGAACCACTATTTTAATCCCAAGCCACCCTAGGCAAGCCAGGTTTGTTTGTTTTTTTCCACCACCCTGCTTCAAAATGACTTGATGCTTCCTTTCAACTTCAACTGTGTATGATTTTATGAAATGTCTCATTATCTTGTCATATTGTTGCTTATAATGCTATTATACCAATTTTTAGACTTGACTTGAGTTACAGCTAGATACAGTGTTTCCCAGTTGGCTAGTAAGCTCTTTTAAAAGGATATTTTATTCAATAAATTATTCAACTGAAAGTCGTATACCATGCCTTATATACAGTAACAGCTTGACATATTTGCAGAGAATTATTTGGAAAAACTCTTTAAAAAGCTTCATTTATGTAGAAAACCTATACATAGATCTGCTGCCTCCCAAAGAGCCCTTTGAATACTTATTATTGCAAGTAGTATGAAGTGATTTACGGAAAAAACTCCAGTTACTCTGATAGTACCAGGGGCAGTCTGCCACGTAAGGCAAAAGAATGTAAAAATTCTCCCAGTATCTAGGGATAGACTAAAAGGCCGTAAGCCTCAGGCTACCTTACTGCAACATGCCAGTAAGAACTGTCCTGTACACTTATGTGGCATATACCAACTCCACTGTTGGGGTTAAATAGGCTTCTTGATGCAAAACCCTTATCTGCAAATTTACAGAAAACAGGGTGGAATGGAGACCTCTGAGTGACAGGTCAGATTCAACCAGAAGTTGAATCTAAAGGAAAGGAGAGCAAAGAGAAATTGAAGGGCAAGAAGGAGGAACAGAAGGGCAGCAGGAAAACATCACTCTGAGTAATGAAAAGGAACAGTGAAATTCACAGAGTCTTTACCAATGGCCTACTATGAACCAAGCACTTGGAGCTGCAAAGCAGACTCCTGACCTCAAGGGGCTAATAGTCCTGAGGGTAAGACTGAAGCCTCTACCTACTGTGTATGTATGTGTGATTCTAATTGGGAAAATCAAGCAAGGAAGGCTTCACAGAAAAGGTGGTGAGTTAATGGAGCTTTGAAGTGTATAGGAAGATTTGCTAAGGGAGAAAAAAACACACTTGAGCTAGTTATTTTGGGGAAGAAACATTCACATATTTTTACAGCTGTTCCTTTGGGATTTTAAATCATGGAGGCTTCTTATATTCACCACCACTTTGTCAATGCCTTCTTTCTCTTGTTACTTTATCTTAAATACTGAGATGTTCAAGCCCAGCGTTGGGACAGAGCCAAAAAGCCCCAGAATGAGGTGAGTGCTCGCCAAATTTGCTCTGTCACCTCCAGATCCAGCCAGCCCAGCTAGCCCAGTCCTGCTTTCCTGGCAGCCAGAAAAGGAAGACTAATTATATCCTCTGGGGGGCCAGATTGGGGGTAAAATTTGGATGCGGGCAGACAAGGCTTATCCTTGTTCTGCCAGTGAGGTACCATGGGAGAGCTTCCTTGCCTCCTAAGCCATGAGGTTCTAGTCTGTCTACCTGTGACATGGAGGCCAGCTTTGCGGGGGAGGTGGGGGGGGAAGCTGGGGACGCACTGGATTGGGAAATGCTGAGGTATTAAGTGAGATAATCATAAAATGTTTAATAATATCCCTGGCACACGGCAAGCATTGGATGAAGGTGAGCTCTTATCAACAACATACTACTACTATTATTATTATTACAGTAACACCTCAATTATACTCCAACAAGATATTGTTTTCACAGCCTACTTTTATGACGTTGAAGCAGCAACTCCAAAGATGCAAGTGTATTTCAAAAATAACTCCAGAAATGCAAGTGTATTTCAAAAAATTGTAAAGGTACAAGATCAAATTCTAACTGTACTGGCCTGAAAGCCCGAGACCTTGACTTCAAGAGCTAGCCCTTGCCCCTATCAGGCGCGTGACCTTGGGCACTGCACTTCACCTCTGTGCCTCAGTTTCCTCATCTGTAAAGTGGGGCTAAGAAGCCCCTCCCTCGCACGGTCATCGTGGGGTCCAGCCCGAGGGTACTCCTCGCTGCACCGGGGTCGCACGCACGCAAGGCGAGCTCCCGGCCCACCTTTCAAGCTCCCTGGCTTCGGGACGGGCGGGGTAGGTGAACGCCCGACCCGAGGCCCACCGACCTATGCCGCCTGTACGGCAGGAGCGGGAAAGGGCGGCGCGCTTAAGGTGCGTCCCTGAGACCGAGGGGGTCGGGCGCCCGGACCGCCCGCACGCTGTCATCCGCGGCTTCGCTGCCAGGCCCCGAAGCCCGGGCGCGGGGACCGGCTGAGGGAGGCCGGGCTGACCCCGGTCCTGCCGGCGCGGAGAGCGAAGGGCGCAGGGGGACCTGGAGGAGGCTGGCAGCGCGAGCCGCGGGCCGCCGCGCGCCGCGGAGATTAGGCGCAGAGGGAGAAAGCACGGGGAGCGACGCCCCCGCAGGCAGCGCCGCGCGTCCCCAGCGGGCCGGGCTGTGGCGCTCACTCACCTGAGGCGCGGGCACCCGCCAGCAGTGCAGCAGCGGCAGCAGCAGCAGCTGTGGCGGCTGTGAGAGGGGCGGGGAAGACTCTGCGGCCGCGCAGGCGCGCTGAGGGTGCCGGGGCCGCGCAGGCGCGCTGTGCCTGCCCCTTCGGGAACTACCGAGAAGATGGTGGCTGAGCCGGGAGGGCCCTGCGGCGCCATCTTGGCTGTAGTTTTTCATGTTGCGGAGTCTCCCGGGAGAACCTGAAAACTAGAGCGGCCCGGAGGGAGGGGCGTTGAGTGCGGCGTCTGGCCCGCCTCCTCCCCTTCCGCCAAATCAGATCCTTAATGAAGCTCTTCAGAACCAAAAAAAAAAAAAAAACCTTGCAAGGCAAGGAAGGCATCCTCCTTTTACGTGGACCCAGAAATGTACCCAAGGGCACATAGCCTAGCACAATGCTTGGCTTGTGGGAGGTGCTTACCAAATTTTTGGTGAATGAGTACAGTTAACTGAAGAACTAGAATCCAAGATTCAGGGCTCCTAATTCCCAGTCCTCCATTCTATCTCCTTTATTACAACTGCCAGCCACACCACCTCCTTTCTTGGGTGCCACAGAGAAATGGAGTTTTGGTGTGTTTTTGTTTTAAGAATGATTACACATTAAGCTTAATGACCCAACATATAACACCAAAATATCCCAGACATAATTCCCTCCCCAAAAGAGATTCTTAGTTAATTTCACTGACTAAAAACTAAATTAAGACAAACGGAAGGAATTTTACCAAACATGTCAAGGACAGCAACTGTCTGTAATATTGTTACTCGTCAAGCACAATTCCTGAAGGAAACTTGGGAAGAGGGGAAACTGAAGTTAACTGAGCACAGACTTTTATTTTATGATTTATGTTTATCCGTTAACATTTACGGAGTGCCAAATTGGTTCTACTATCTCTATGTCCTTGGTTAGATTATTAAGCCTCTGCTTGAATTCCTCTTCTAGTGACAAAAAAATACAAGCTACCTAAGTTGTGGTCTGTATGCATGTAAAATCCTTAGAGCTTGTAAGTATTATTTTTCTATGCTCTATCTTATTTGGCTGTTGAAGCTGCAGACAAAAACACACTTTTTACCCTTGAGTTTGAACAAATTCTTACAAACAAAAAATGCAGTATGATGTAATAAATAAAATGACAGAGGGTACAATCACCTGGGAGAGGTGTGATCTATCCCCATTTTACAGATGAGTAAATTTGAGCATAAGAGATAAAGATTCACTTCAAATGGTGTGCTCTTTCCATTATACTACTCTGCTTCTGAAGGAGTAGGCAATTAACACGACTCCTCTGATGCTTAAGAGCTTTCCTTGGGGCTGTCCAAAGTTTCCCTCTTGCTCTAGCTTTGACAGTATTATCCATTCTCAAGGCTTCAATAGCTACATATCAGTTACTTCCAAATTTTATCTCCAGTCCAAATGTCTCTACCCAGTTTTCCACGTCTATATCCAATGGTCTAGCTGACTTCTCCATTTGGTATCTCAAATTGAACTACTAGCTTTTTCATCTCATTAGCCGCTCTACTAATCCGCTCAGTTGTTCAAGCTTTTGCCCCTCCAGCACACTGATACCACTGTTCTAAATTTATACTTTTTAATCTGACTTACAGCATCCCTGTGATATAGGTTCTATCTTTCTCCCAATCTTACAGATAAGAGGTTAAATAACTTTTTCTCGGTCCAAGTGGCACTTAGGCTTTTAACACATAGGTCACATGCCTACAAAGTTCCAGATACTATGAGCAACTCCCATGTCTGTTTTTGTTCTTCGCTCTCTCCCCATTTCTTAGAACTATGCCCGGCATATAGCAGGGGCTCTGTAAATACATGAAAGAAAAAGGAATGTGGGGGGGTCCCTGGGTGGCTCAGTCAGTAAAGCATCTGCCTTTGGCTCAGGTCATGATCGTGGGGTCCTGGGATCAAGCTTTGTGTGGGGCTCCCTGCTTAGCAAGAAGCCTGCTTCTCCCTCTGACAAATAAATAAATAAAATCTCTTAAAAAAAAAAAAAGGAATGTAGGTCAAAGGAAGGAGATACCACCTTTCCCTAATTGGTACTTAGGCCAAGGTTTAAGACTTAAGATTATGACTGGGTATTTAAATGAAGTAGGCTTTATCCTATTAGGAGGATCAGAGAATAAGAAACATTAACAATAAATTAGTTGGTGTTTTCCTGGTAATTAATGCTGAGGCATATTTCCACACTATTGTTCACTTCAGCATCTTGGCAAGGAATCCTATTTTCTGCTAAGCCCCCACTGCCTTAAAAAAATTTTTTATATGCTCAGTGTATACACAAAGACAAAAGAAAGCTTTTAATAATGTGCAATTTTATAATGCAAATTATTAAAAACAGAGAACAGTGAAAAACAGTACTTAGCCCCCTCCTGCCATGAATCCAGGAGTTAGGATGTCAACTCAATATTAAAACCTAAAGCACACTGTAAACAGGACAGAGAATGAGTGGTATTTCCTTCAATCTGGACATCGTGTAAAGTGATACACATTTATCCATATGATGCAAACAACGCTCACAACTCCTCTACCAAAAATCACCTTCAGGGCCACACTAGAAAATTAGTCCCATTCCTTTACTACCAGAACCCAACTTGACCCCTAAAATGTTTTCCTGGATTTGGTCCTGAATGACTTTGGATTTTTTCAAAACCTAAAAAACATCTTCACAAGATGAAGATTACTGACCATGAAGGATATTTAAAAGAATGGGCTACTAGTTCTCAAGGTCATTCCACAAAAGAAGTTGCAAGCATTTTGCACATTCTTGGAAAAAGCATCTATACTACACTCTTTCAGATGCATAAATTCTGTCACTTTTAGAAAAAAAAAAAAACCGCAGGGCTCTACATTCAGCCCGTTATCCTCAAAGGCAACAGGGCAGCTATCACCAGCTCAGACTGCCACGCAGTTGCCATGTGCTGGGGCACTCTTCCCATTTCTCTCCTCTGGAAAGCTACATGTGCAGGAAAGCTACATGAAGTCACTGACAAGACTTAGAGCAGTGTGTGGTAGGTGGGTTCTGTAGCTGAAGCTTGAGCAGTTTTCGAGCTGGAGAGGGATCTAATTGTTGTGTGCTTCTCTTCCCTGCAAAGGAAAGACAAAAGTAAATTTCAAGTGAATTCAAAATAACATTTATTGAAAACTTCTTGTATGGACAACTGTGCCAGACACTGAAGGGCATTACAATGACAAATAAGAGTCTCTGTCCTCAAGGAGATGGCAGTCCGGCAGGAAAGCCAGCTGCAACCACAACCATAATACTATGTAATGAGAAAATGAAGGTATATATAGCAAATAATTTAGGGCTGGAGGAGGCCAAGGAAAAGCAACAGGGAAGTAATGTCAGTGTCACTTAGTGGATTCTTGAAGAATGAAGAGGAAAACGGCAATGGGTATTTAAAAGCTTGGATTTACTAAAACAACACGGTTTGTGGGGATTTAATTTTCCAATCTACTATGTTCCTGTGAATTCACATCTAGAAATTTCCCATCAACTTTGAGTACCCACAGCATAATAATTATGGTGAGGGGAGAAAAAGAAATCATCTACACAGGCCTTATTTTCTGAGACCATATGCTCTGAAGGGCAGTTTGTATCTGAAGGGCTATAATATATAAAATAGTGCAAGCTCTAGTCCCCTGAAGACACACACTCACCGAGCTGTACTGACACCTTCTGGAGACACTGGGTACTTTCATCCATAAAAGCATGCAGCTGCCTCACAGACCCTTGCAGTTCGTCCATCTGCACATGAAAAACAGCTGTGAGCTATAAGGGTCCGTGGCTTTTTTTTTTTAAGATTTTATTTATTTATTTGACAGAGAGAGACACAGCCAGAGAGGGAACACAAGCAGGGGGAG